GAAACCCTGTACAGGGTCGCTATGAGTCAGAACCAACTCCACGGTACATAACAACAACAACAGTAAAAGCTAATCACCACTTTTTCCTCACAGCAGGTCTGGGACATTCATGGGCTTCTCTGGACACCTCTGCTCCAACCTCAAACACAGCCAGGCCCTCTTGTCCTCACACCAGCCTTTCTTGTGAGCCCCCAGTGGAGGCTTGTGGAAAGGAGCTAGCAAGTCTGCAGTCTCCCCTTGTGTGCAGTGCTCCAGCAGATTTCAAAGCCACACTGGCCACATTCAGTCTAAGTCATTAAGACGTCATTAAAAATGTATCTCTCTTTTAACCTGCTTTTTTATGGCTGCTACCTCTTCCTCACATGCATTACCAAAGGTGAGAAAGCTCATAGGTCTTGTCTCTGCTCAGGGAGGCTTATTACCCTTTGAAGTTTAGTTGACTTGATTAACTTGGGAACTCGACATTTTGATGTTGTTTTTGTTGTTAGATGCCATTGAGTCCATTCTGATTCACAGCAGCCCTGTATACAATACAGCAAAACACTACCCAGTCCTGAACTATCCTCACGATCCTTCACTATCCTGACAACTGCTGTTATGGCTGAGCCCATTGTTTCAGCCACTGGCGATCCATCTCGTTGAAGGTCTTCCTGCATGACGGCCCTCTTCAGGGCTTCATCCCTCCTGATCATATGTGTAAAGTTTATAAGATGAAGTCTTACCATCTTCTTTTCTAAGGACCATTCTGGCTGTACGTCTACCAAGACAAATCTGTCTGCTCTTCTGGAAGTCCATAATTTGAAGACATCAATTTTTCTTCAGTTTTCCTTATTCACTGTCTAGCTTTTGCATGTATAGAAGGTGATTGAAAATATCATAGCTAGTTGGGTCAGGTGCACCTCAGTCCTCAAAGTGACATCTTTGCTTTTTTAACACTTAGAAGAGGTCTTTTGTAACAGATTTGCCCAGTGTAATATATCAGTTGAGTTCTTGACTGCTGCTTCCATGAGTGTTGATTATGGATCTAAGTAAAATAAAGTGCTTAGCAATTTCAGTCCTTTCTCCATTTATCATGATGCTGTTTACCTTTGTGAGGATTTTTGTTTTCTTTACATTGAGATGTAATCCATACTGAAGGCTGTGCTCTTGGATTTTTACAGGTGTTTCAAGGTCTCTTTGCTATCAGCAAACCAGGTTGTATCATCTGTATATCACAGGTTGTTAATGAGTCTTCCTCCAATCCTGGTCTTCTTCATATAGTCTAGCTTCTCCATTTGCTGTCCCTACTTCTTAAAATGACTTTGTAGATTACTCAGATTTTTCTCATTAAGGCTCTTGTTGTTGTTAAGTGCCATCGAGTCAGTTCTGACTTATAGCAACACTGTATAGGGTTTTGGAGGAGCAGCTGGTGGGTTTAAACCACCAACTTTGGGGTTAGCAGTTAATGCTGATCCTGTAACACCAGGACTCCCATTGTTAGGGTGGAGGTGATACTTTCTTGTGACTAGCAAAATCAGCAACAGACATAAAACTACCCTGTTGTGTAATAAGTATTATTTGTTTTAATGGCCTTTATTTTTTAGAGCAGTTGTAGGTATATAAGGAAATTGTATCACTGTACAGAGCTTCTATATATGCCCTCTACCATGGAAGTTCAAGTTCACCAGCTGCTCCTTGGAAACCCTATACAGGGTCACTACGGGTCAGAACCGACTTGGTGGCGCTTAACAACAACCAACTGCACACATTTGCTTCTGTTCCTAAGATACCACATTCCTGTGATGTACTTGTTAATAACTGATAAACCAATCTTGATACATTATTATTAGCTAAAGTCTATAATTTATTACTAGGCTTCACTCTCAGTGCCACACACCTTTATGAGTGATGTTTTACATGACGTTTTCCTCCGTTAAATAGAGAGCTCCTTGAGGACAGACCTATTCCTTGGTTATGCCTATACACCCAGTGCTTCTCCTCATGTCTGGCAGGCTCTGTACATTACATGTATCTTTTACAGAGTGGATAGATGAATGAGAGGCGTGCAGTGATTCAGACTGAGCCCAGCAGGACTTCTAAGGTCAGAAAGCATAGCTAGTGCGTGCAGGCCTGCAGGCAGTAAAACTGGGGCATCTTGTACAAAACTGTCTCCCATTTTTTTGTGTTCAGGCCATTTATTGGTTCAATCCACTACCAGCTGGGCTTCTGAGCTATCCATGTAACAACTAGAGAAGATCCCTTGGCTGAATCTTCCTCCGTGATCTGCTGGTTTCTTGGCTACACTACTCAAGTAGCACTTTGTTGTTTGCTTTTTAAATAACAAACAACTGTCTGTCCCTATTATGATTTTCCCAGACTCTGGAGCAATAAACAGCTCCGGTGACAGCTATACCAGATAGTAAGTGCTCACATGTCTGTCAGAGCATCTCCCCAAGCACTTCAGAGAGCAGCTAAGTGGATAAAACAGATTTCTGCTATTACCTGGGTGGTCACTTGTGTTTGTGGAACCTTCCCTGGAGACGAGAGTCAAATATGGATGACAGGAGTGACTAGGCCCCCTGGCTTTCCTTGTTTGCAGCCCCATTGGCTCCTAAGTCTCAGAAAGTCTGGGTAGTAACACATAGGTAACTAAGGCCTGAGGATAGATGGTAGTGCATTCAGTTCAAGGTCGTAAACAGACGTGCTCATTTTAAAGAGAGGTCTGGGGCACCAGGACGAGGCTCCATGCTTCCGTATATTCAGGGAGGGCTTCCTGGGGGTGGTGAGTTTTCATTTCTGTTTTTCAAATAGCAAGAAACAAGGTAGGCACATGGAAGAAGTAGGGACAGTTCATGTATCAGTGTGATTTGTTGTTAGGTTCCATTAAGTCGGCTCCAAGTCATAGCAACCCTATGCACAACAGAACAAATCACTATCCAGTCCTGCGACATCTTCACAGTTGTTGCCATCTGACCCTTGAAGAAAAAGCTTACCAACTCCTGCCTCTACACAGTCTTAGTAAGGGTAGAAATTAAATACTGGAATCTCTCATCTTTCAAGACTGAGCTCCTGAAAGCATGGCCTCAGTCTTTTTGCCCTGTATCTGTTACATCAGTACATTGTCTTGACACAACATATTTATGAAGATGGGAAGGAAGTCAGTTTATCTATGAAAAGATGGATTCAAAAGTATGAGTCAAGAAATCAGTTTATTAGGTTAGGATCAAATTATTTCTTTCAATGAAAGAATAATATCACGTGGAATGGAAGAGAATACAGTACACTGCAGATGATAGGGATATTTTATTTCTTGATCGCTTGTCTCAATTGTACATGTGATTCAGGCCATATACTGAATGAATGTAAAAGGATTTTTGTTGTTGTTGTTTGCAATAGAAAAACAATTTAAAGAACACAGAGTCTAGGGTGGGGTCTGGGCCTGATGCCTCATCTGTAGAACCCATGATGGTACAAGAGGAGGTTCTGATGTCTCTTGTGCCTGCGAGGTCTCAGACGCTTCAGGATTCCCTGTTCCAGAACCTCTTGTGACTTTGGAGAGAGGGAAGATGAAACAAAACAGCAGAGGAGCAAAAAGGAAAGGGAAAGCAAGAAGAGAGATGTGAGACCCACAGCAGTTTTGTCAGAGGAACCAGTTTCTCCACCCAAAGCTCTTAGAAGAATCCAAAGGAGACGTGCTTCCAGCTTCTTCAAGTAGCTCAAGAAGAGCTGCACTATTCTCCTTCTGTGACCTCCACAAATTTCCCTTCAGAGCCAAAAAGAGTTGCTGCAGTATCTCCGTCTTCCCTGAAGACTAACAGGGAGATTGCAGGGGTGGTAGCATTTCACAGCAGACAGAAAAAAAAGAAAATGGAAGCTGAGCCAAGATGAGAACACAAAGGCTCGTTTGGAAGTACACTGGTTGGAATCACCAGTTAAGGAAAGGAAAGGTTCAGAGAAGAGAGGAGGGGAGGGTTCTAGAACGTGCCATTATGCTGGGTATCACGCCTCCCAAAAAGAGTTATGTTGATTACAAGATTCTGCAGGAGTGAATCAAAGAAAGCAAGGCAGCAAAGGGAGAAGAAAAGAGAATGTAAGTGCTTCAAGTCCTCTTGGCTTCCAGCAAGCTAGGTTGTGTTATGTGCATATGACAGGTTGTTAATGACTTCCTCTAGTCCTGATGCCACTTTCTTCATATAATCCAACTTCTGGGATGATTCTCTCAGCATACAGACTGAGCCCAGGACACATAATGTCATGGAAAAGAAAAGGGCAAGCAGACAGATGTAGGAAATCCCAAAAGAAGAAATCAGCACCCAGTATTTTGAAGGCTTGGACAGGTTGGAAAACCCAAAACTGGCACATTAATTCTGAGTCCAGTTGATACGAAGAAAATGAACTCTTTCAGAGTGATTCAATGAAGTACTTTCCAGAGGAATAGAAACATGCCAGCAGGCGGAAACTAGGCCGATACTCAACTTGAAGATGGTTCTTAATTACTTCATTTTTCGCAAACTGTTTTTAAACGTTCGAAACAAAATAAAAAAGAAATGGTATATTTCTAGTCTTTCAGGTGTCTGTTTTATGATGCCTAACGTGTTCAGTCAACTACAGTATGAGTGTAAAGCAAACCTACTGAAAATCATGACTATTCCCAGCAAGGTTCACTCATTGTATTTCTCTAGTGTTCTGCACATTTCCTTATAAGACTGTTTTCCATAATTTTACTGTTTTATAAATGCTAATAATTAAGTTGCTTTTTAGTTTTTTTAATGATTTAATGTTACACAAGAGCTAAGAACATGGCGATTCAATTGTTTTGTAGAAAATCAGTTTTAATTTTCAGTCTAACAAGGATATTACATTGATTTCATAAATAGTTAAATACAATGCAACTTTTGTGAAAAAGAATAGAGAGTCTACCTAGTGAGCCGGCTGGTGAGATGCCCTGTCACTTGCTCCATCTCTCTGGCCATTCGCATTCATCTTCTTCTCTCATGCTTCCTCCCTACATCAATTCCCAGAACGTGTACTACACCAGCAGTCAGCAGATCCATGTAGGCACCCTGAGTCCCACGATTGATGACGACGACAACCGGTGCCTGGTAGATGTCAACAGTCGACCACGCCTTATCGAATGCAGCTATGCCAAAGCCAAGAGAATGAAGCTTCACTGGCAGTTCTCTCAGGTAAGCGCTCCAGGGCCCCAGAAATAGTAATGGGGCAGCCATAGGTGCAAGAGATAGATGGAGAGGAGAAGAGGCAGCAAGTCGGCTGACTCCAGGCCAAGTCCCAGGTGTTTCCTGAGCACCTACTCTGTGCGGGAGTTACACATACATTAGCTTCCTGCCTCCTGATAGCGGTGCTGAGGGAGGATACTGTTGTTATTATTTGGTTATTGTTGTGTTTAATTTTGAGATTGAAAACTGAGGTTTGGAGGGAGACGCAGTGACAAGATCAGGAGCTAAGCTCAGATCTCTTTGATTTTGTTATTGCGTGCTGTCAAGTCGATTGCAATGCCTGATATGACACAATAGAACAATTTCAATGCGTCAAACTGCATAGCCGTTTGAACTACAAGATCAATGGTTCAAGCTCACCAGCTGTTCCTTGGAAACCCTAAACAGGGTCACTATGGGTCAGAACCCACTCAACAGCACTTAACAACAACAACAATAAGGAGTTTCTTAGGCTGTAATCTTTTTGAGACCAGATCTCCAGGTCATTTGTCCTACAGAACCATTAGGTGGATTCAAACCACCGACCCTTTGGTTATTAAACAGCACTTAGCCATCACACCACCGGGGCTCCTTTCTCTGACGCGAGACTCTTGCATCTCTCCTGCAGATGCTCCTTCTCACAGGATGACATCACCAGTCAGCCAGCCAGAGACGGGGCTGAATTGTCTCTGGTCTGTGACCTCCCTCTGCCTTCATCCCAGTATGAGGTCACTCTAGGGGTGAAGTTTTCTCACAGGGAAATACCTTTGTGTGAGAGACAGTCCCCACCTTGGTGACTGTGGAAGCAGTAACTGTGGAAACAGCTTTGTCTATCTGTGTTGGCTATCCTAGGCTCTCTGTGTCCAGCCTTGTGTAGTTTGGTTTCATAAGCACACAACCCCATCGTAAAGAAGAGAAAATGAGCCTCAGTCTCCTGGCCAAGATTATACAACCAGATAGTAGCCATGGCATTTAACAGACTGAATGAACCCAGAGCTTAAGCTCCTTCTGTGTCCCAGACCCCCATCTGTCTCCATCACAGCCTCACATATATCCTTCAGAAACATGCTTGAGGTCTTGGGCCTGGTGTGCCTGGGTTCCAGCTCTGTATGCCTTGATAGTCCATGACCATGCCTTTACACCCTTCCTATCTTATCTGCCCATTCCTGGCAGGCAGAGGAGAGACCATTTCCCTAAAACAGATATCCTCGAGGCAGTGACACCCCAAATCCAGCTCTAGCCTTTCCTCATCTAAGTCAATGATCTTGGACAGCCCTACACAATTTCTGCTTGAGCTGCCATGGGCAAGCCACAAAGCAGGATGTTGTTGGTGTTTGAAGCCCTGGAGATGGGGTCACTTTAGTATATTTCTAATTAAAAGTCTCACAGTCTGTTGGCAGCCATATCTTTGATCATTCGACCAAAGGGAACTGTTTGGAATTATTTTTTCATCCCTAATTTGCAGATCCAGAGAAGCCAGTCTCACTTGTTACTTTTAAATTAATGTAGGTGGAATTTTTGCGTAATGAAAAATGATCAACATTTATTTATCAAGCAACCCGAATCTGTCCGCAAGTCCTCACTGGTTAGGAGCTGCTGTTGACAAGGCAAGAGGTAGCTGGAAACCTCTTAAATGATTTAAGTTTTGTGATTGAGCTGGCTTTTTTGTTGTTGTTGTTAATAGGTTTCAATCTTAGCAAATTACATGGGGACCCTACCAACCAGAATGTTCTGGTGCAGAAGCCAGGTTGAAAGGAGCTTTGAGTGGGTGCATTTCAAGTCTCCTTTCCCATTCCATGTTGCCCATTCTTTACTTACTCTCCTGAGGACCACATTTAAACCCCACAGACACTCACGCTGAATTAATTTCAAAATCATCTAGTGCAATTCTCCCAGTTTCTCCTACAAAGGAGCTAGGCATTTGCATATCTCAATGTTTCATCTCATACCCTGGTTTTCTTCTTAGCAAATAAAATGCCTTTTCTCTAATCCCTGCAAGGGCCTCTGGATATCTGAAGCTTCAGGCTGAGTCAGGACTGGGTTAGATACTGACTTCAAGAAACCACATTTGATGAAAACATCTCTTGGCAACACTGAGGTACAAGGGCTCCAATGAACAGCCTTCTGATGATCAACATTCACCCCTTCAGTCATTCATCAAACATTTATTGAGGCCAGGGGTTGGGCAGAATGGATGCAGATATGAATTAGACACAACCTTTGCTCTCAGGTTGCCCATGGGCATGTAAACACTCAACAAAATTGAATGAGAAGAGCAGAAACAGAGGAGTGTAGTATGTTCTGGGAACCAGAGCTGACTGATTCTTTCTGCTGAACTCAAGGGCTCTTCACGTGTAAGGCTGTTTGATCTGGGTATGGAAGATGCAGAGACAGTTCCCAGGCATAGAAAAGAGAGCAGAGCACCCCAAGTAGAGGTGTGCTCGAGGAATATGAATCTGTTGTTTGGTGTGGGTGGAATTTTTTGTTGTTGTTGTTGTTAGGTTTTTATTGTGGATTGAGTGATAGTTTACAGAGCATATCATCAGTTTTACATTCAACAAATCATACACCTTGCTTCGTTACAATGATTATAATCCCTTCCATGTACCATCAGTTAACAGTATTTTTCTCTATCCACTTTAGTTTTTAAAAACAAACAAACAAAAAAACCACTCGGGCGTATATAATAATTTACATCTCCAAAGGGCACATTCTTTCTGCAAGTCTGCTCCTGGCCACCGGCTCTTAATCCCTGTCTTCTTAGTCCATGAATCTAGAGTCCTCAACCACACCTTCTTTCCAAGCCCCCATCTCTGCCTCCATCTCTGGCGCTGCTGCTTCTCTGGATAAGGTCCCGCATTCTGCTTGTGCACCTCTCTTTTGATGGTCCTAGGGTCCTCTGTTTCTGGACTGTATGTAAGATTAACCACTTCCCTGTTTTTGTTACAAAACTTCTACCTTTACAACTGTGACAGTTGCAATTAGTCATGATAACAGTTATTCACTATTGAATCTTATGAATCTTATCCCCATCTCTTTTCATCAGACCCATCTAGACAAGATGACAGCTATTGAGTGGAGACTCTTTCTTCCCCCCCCATACTCTTAAACTAAACTCCCTCTTGAAACCTTGTAAGCCAGTCACTTCGTGCCTTTATTAACCCCTCATTTTAGGTAGCCAATGTCTTAAGTTGCCCGTGCCATTCTACCCTGTGTATAGATGGGATAGCATTGATACTTGATGTGAAGACTCCTTCCCTCGCTGTTGGTTTTTAAAGTAACTACTGCTTTGAGTATAGGTCAGGTTCATCAAATTGAAGCAATTTACCCTTGTTTCCTTTATCCAAAAAAAAAAGTTTATTTTTTTTCAATCTTCATCTAGTCGAGTTCTGATTATCGAGCCATTGAAGTTAGGTCAAAAGGGTACTGTATGCAAGTTTGAATGTTCTTGTGCATCTCCCCTCACTTCATATCAGCTGGATGCTTCACTCTCAGCTCTAGCCCTCTGTAGCTAAGTCCTTGTCCATGGGCTCAAATATCCTCAAGTCTCAACACACTTTTGCCCAACCAGCCCTTCCTCTTCTCTCTCTCATCTCCAAGTCACCGGGATTCAATGGACTGGGGTTGAACACAGCCCATTTCTTCATTGATGCCTTTCTGCCTCTTCCACTCATCAGTAGACCAATGTGGTGACCAGCAAGCTTACATGCTTGTTTGTGTATTCCCTTTGAGTTTCAGTCTTAGAGGGGAGTTTATCCTGAAGGCACTTGATTGCTAGCATTGATGTCTTCCTGGCGAACGGCTTGCTTATTCTTGTAGTAGCCAGACATTTTTGTTTTGGTTTTTCTTGATCTTTCTTTGAAGTTGTATCTTCTGTCACTGTAGCTGTTCCAGTCTGCTTGTCCTTTCTAGTGGGAATGTCCCACCTCATAAGGTTCTGGATGGGACTCAGGATTCCACCTAAGGTCCTATACTCTA